AAATACATTTAAAGGGTGGTTGATTGCGATTTCACTTTTTTAACATTAGTGTGTAATGTTGCTGTTTGAGCATAAACAATATCTGCAAAGTTACGAAGCTGAAAGTTTAATGCAAACGGAGATATCGTCTTTTAAAATTCTGGCAGTTTAATGCCTACAAAAACGGCTGGTAGGGACTAAAAGTTACTTCTCGGGTTTGTGACGTCACAAACCCAGACAAACCCTGCCCCCGGGAACATGCAGCAAAGGTGGTGAGGCTATGCTGCGCTGCGCTGCTTTAGAGAAGAGGAAGAAAAAACTAGGGGTGCACATAAAAATCTATTCATATATGAATCGCGATTCTGTCTTCTAACGAATCTAATGGATTCACAAGTTTCAAAATCAATGTTCTAAAGCAGTGGTTCTTAATACTGTTCCTCGCGTCCCCCTGCTCTGCACACGCTCTGCGTATGTAGAAGGATGTGCAGAGTTGAAGGTGCTACACCCAGTCAGGAACAGCATAAGATTTGTTAAACATTGCATTTTTCCCCCTTCCTTTCTACTTCACTGTGACTGAGTGGACCACATTTATTGTCTTTGCAATAAATCTCAGCCTCTGACAAAGTTCTGGCAGTGTCAGAAATTTAGTGTGGCATTCGTGCAGCATTACTGCTCCTACAAGCTGTACATTCTGACTTTTACCCAAGATCTCACTGGGAACATATTGTTCAGGCTTTAGTTTCAATAAATGCTCTTTTTAGACTGGCAAGGACATTGAGGTATAGTATGTCACAGCACAATAAACTTTTTTTTATTCCTCATGATGTGACCCCTTTAAAATAACCAGTGCATGTTGATGTCACTGGAATAAATGTTTTCTTAATGTAATAAATGTTTTGTGTTTCTTGACGGGAAGGCTGCATTATCTTTGGAGATTGTGTCATCAATAAATAAACCAAATAAAAGCATTTTTTATCTCGTCAGCACAGCATGTTGGTAATTAACTGGGGCTAACAAATTGGACACACGCAGGAGGAAGGAACACAGCTCACTGTCTTTTCAGAAAATCACAAATGCACTCTAAACATTTTCTCTGTTTGCTTTCTTTGGTGCCAACCTCCCCCTCCGCACCTCCTCGCCCTCCGTCTAAGAGCTGTCACAAACTGCCTCTAATCAAGTTCTGAGCTGTTTAAAATGGGCTGCTTGATTTGCTTCATTTTTTGCAGTCTCTCTTACTCTCCCATCTTTCTTTTCCCTCTCTCGCTTTTCATACATTTATTGATTTTCCTAATTCGATTATACAACAAAAATGAAATGGCTTGCAGTTTTGTCAAGAACAAATATCTTGTTTAATTAAATTGTTTAATCATGCCTGGTGGAGTCAGAGAGGATTCTGTCAGCATTTAATTGGCTGCCTTCCTTCATTAGGACACATGGAGGAGAACCTCCGAAGGATTCAGACCTAGTAAGGGTAACCCTAAAAGCAAGTGAATGATGGAAAACCCACGCAAGACTATTCATAACTATGGCTAATATGAGTGGGGAGATAATCTTATCTGCTGCAACTCTTGGGAGCTAATGAAAGGATAGCTGTTCCCGTAGGAGAGAAAAGTACAAAGAGCAATGGACCTAATTTCCGCCTTGTCAAAGGCTCTGCTCATTTTCTTTATTAGAAAATGAATGGGAGAAGAGAGAGATCGGAGCATCAGTCCTCCGCTCCAAGTCCACTTGTGCATCATGCTGAAAGAAAAGCACTAACCAGGAGTGAGCTTGAAAGGCGGCAAATGTTTCCAATCATATTCGCTGTATTGCTTTTTTGTTGCCCAGAAGACTAAACTTTGTCTCAACTGTGAGCTGCCGTGCCGTGCACCGTGAACTTTTCTCTGATTTCAAAGCCTCTGTGAATAACCTTATGTAAACCTGAGCAATATTGTGTGATTGTTTTTAATTGTGCAGCAGCGCTAGAGTCAAACAACAGAATTAGGTGCTTTGAAAATGCCAGTGTGTTTGTAAACATGATTTTCTGAATATCGTGTAATGCTGAATGCACCTGTAATCGGTGATATGATAAGCCACAAACAAATTCAATGAAGAAAACTTGTAAAATGATTTAACTCGCAAGCACAGTTTTAAGCAACTGGCATTAAAAGAAAAGTGTAGTTTGCCTTCCTGTGTTGATGTACTTCCTATGGAAACAGGAAGCTTGGGTGTGGTGTATCGAAGAGCTTTTCATCTAATGATCTCAACATATTAAGGTAAAAAAAAAAAAAAGACAATGTCGAGATCATGAAAAAATTACAGGAAATAATCGTAGCCTCTACAGACAGGTAGGATTGTAAATTTGAACTACATACAGTATATCTGCTAAAAGTTAATTTTCAACATTGAGTACACATAGACGGCTTCGAAGCTAAACTACATGAACTAAAAGCCACGTAACTCTAATTTTGATTTCATGGGGTCTTTAATCCCTGACATCTCCTTTTCAGCCCTTGTTTTCTGTCAGTACCGGAGAAATTGGAAAGCAAACTAAGAAATCTGTTGTGTGGAAATCCCATCCATTGGTGGTTCTGCTTTAGAGGATTGAGAAACAGGAAGCTTGGGTGTGGTGTATCGAAGAGCTTTTCATCTAATGATCTCAACATATTAAGGTAAAAAAAAAAAAAAAGACAATGTCGAGATCATGAAAAAATTACAGGAAATAATCGTAGCCTCTACAGACAGGTAGGATTGTAAATTTGAACTACATACAGTATATCTGCTAAAAGTTAATTTTCAACATTGAGTACACATAGACGGCTTCGAAGCTAAACTACATGAACTAAAAGCCACGTAACTCTAATTTTGATTTCATGGGGTCTTTAATCCCTGACATCTCCTTTTCAGCCCTTGTTTTCTGTCAGTACCGGAGAAATTGGAAAGCAAACTAGGAAATCTGTTGTGTGGAAATCCCATCCATTGGTGGTTCTGCTTTAGAGGATTGAAGAGTCATTCTCCTGCGATTAGCTGCTAGCTCTGAAGGGTTCTGTAGAGATTCCCTATGGAATGACTGCCAGCGCTTTCAGAGCATCTTTAGTGTGCACCCAACCAATAATGTTTTATGTCTGAGGGCACACAAGATGCTATTTTGCATTTACAGGATAAATGCCTGTTAGCATTGTCAAAAACGGCTAAAGTTTATGTGCATTTTTGTCAATCTAAATTAAATTCAGGCCCATTGCAGACTCTGAATGTACTCTTTATTTGTGTCCTGAAAACTGCAGTTCAATGAAAATACACAACCGTTTAAAAGTTTAGGGTCAGTAAGATTTTTTAAATGTTTTTGAAAAGTCTCCAAGTCGCCAACGCTGCACTGAAATGCTGTTACAATGTAAAATAACTGTTTTTTTTATTTGAATATATTTTAAAATGTAATTTGTTCCTGTGATGGCAAAGCTAAATTTTCAGCAGCAACTGAAGGGACACAGACACTCATTCTTGTCAATTTTGTTGGAGTCTTCTGTTTTAAAGCTGAACTGCGGGGAGATATTAACTATGACAGCCCTGCAGGAGTGAACAAAGCTCATTTTGCAGTGAGACATTTTAATTTTAGGGCTGATAGCATGTACAATGACAACAGTATGTCAGCAGACGGCGGTAATCCTGCAAACACAGTTGTCTCATCAAATACAATTGTGATCATTAATCATTTGTCATAGATTTCTCTGCAATTTTTGGAGTGGTTTATGTTTGGCCTTTAAGAATATGGAATAAAGCCCATATATTTGGTTAATTAAAAGCCTAAATTGAGGAACAATTCCTTATTTGTTTGCTGTTTTATTTTTATTAATCTTAAAACACCTTAGAGATTGAACGATAAAAAAACGGTGTAAAATCGGTGAGATTTGACATTATACAATTGAGTTGAGGAGCTTTGCTGCAGGGATTGTGTTTCTGGCCTGCTGGTTAGATGCATGAGAGTGTTCATGCCACTGTTATTCACGTAGAAGGTCTTGGCTTAGGGATCAATCAGGGGACTTTGCTAGAAGTGCAGAAATGCGTGATGGGGATTACTGGAGCCAAAGTGTCAGTGGAAAATTGGATTTATAGCAAAGAGCCATTAAAGCAGGAAAAACAGAATGTGAAGTTTCACAGATGCTCATTAATTTGAGGTAATAAATGATGAAGAGACAATCATATGAAGTCCTACCAGTTTTGTATTTTCTTGATAAAAGGCACTGTGTGTGTGTGTGTTGAGCGAAATCGAAAGGAGTAATGCAGTGGCATATGTTTAATGCGTTTGAAAGTGTGCCTGAACCATTTGCACATTCTCATGCCAAATAACAGGGCCGCACATGTAGGGCATCTGCTCTCTTTACTTTTAAGCGCTTCTCTGTTACACATATCTAATGATCTACATTTGTAAGTGTGTAAGACCTTTTATTTGCAGGTGTGAAAGTGTATCTCCCATTATCATTGTGTCTTCTTGAGCTCTTGTGGTGCCCATAAATCCACTCATGGTGTGAAATAGCAGCCATTGCTGATGGCGGTCACACCTGACGCAGCTGTAGTAATCCAATATGTATGCCCAGGATCCCACAGCCCTGCTCCCCCAAGGATGTTTCTGATGTCTTATTTCTTCCAGATCTAAAACAAGCGATTCCAGCACTCCCTCAGCAACAGCAATTATCTATTCTGATTAAAAGCCTATTCACATCAGAAAGAATCAATGGATTCCCATAGATATGATTTCATAAGTGTTCTTAAGTGTGTTCAGAAACATGAAAGTGTCCTTTTATTTCATTAATGTAATCTGCAAGGACAGTTTTTTAAATATAATTTTTAAGATTTAAATTACATTACAAGTGCACATTTAAGGTAATTAAGTGCATTTCTTTTTCACAGGGGTACTCGTATCTGACACGAACATTTGTCTGCCAACAGACAGAAGTTTATTTTTTTAAGTATTTGGTCTAAATAGGCTGTAAATCTCGGGAATTCATTGTTCTAACGTTTCCCCGTTTTGCGTTCTCCTTCTTTAGTGAGTAAACTGAAGGTGCACAGATCCAACCAGAGTCTGCAGTTTCTGGAGGACAGTCGGGTGCGTGTCAACTGCTCCATCACCTCTCAAACCAGCCCAGACTCTCAGCATGCCGTGCTGTGGTACGCCCGGAAGGCCGAGGCAGGAGAGCCAGATGAGCTGCTGTTGAAGATCGAACACTCTGGAGCGTTCGAGTATGGAGCGTATGCAGAGGAGGAACGTCTCCGCAGCCGTGTACAGTCAGAGAGACTCTCTCCTCGGCTATATGGCCTCACCTTGCACCGTGCCGAGACCAGCGACTCTGGAACATACTACTGCCTTGTGGAGGAGTGGCTCATGGACCCTGATGGACTCTGGTACCGCCTGGCACAAGACTCCTCCGGCTTTACACATGTGGTGGTGAGACAGCCAGGTAAGAATGTGGTTGCTTATCAAATGCCCATCAAGCAAGTAGCTTTAGGAGTATATGTATATTTGTATGTATATTTATCTGTGTCCCACATTTAGTATTATACTTTTTTAAAGAAATTAATACTTTTATTAAGCAGGGATGTACAGTATTAAATTGATCAAATGTGACGGTAAAGACACTTATAAAATTACAAAATATAAAAATTTCAAATAAATGCATTTTGTTTACTTACTGTAGTCATCAAATAATCCTGAAAAAAATGTATCATGTTTTCCGCAAAAAAATATTAAGAAGCACAACTGTTTTCAACATTGACAATAATAATAAGAAATATTACCATAAGAAAAATTAGAATGATATCTGAATAATCATGTGACACTGACGACTGTAATGACTGTAAAGACTGAAATTTCAGCATTGCCATCATAAAAATAAATTAAAACGGGAAAACTTGAAATTGGAAAGACGTTTCTCATTATTACCCTACTGTTATTACAAATAAATGCAGCTTTGGTGAGCATAAAAGCCTTTTATTTTTTTTTTATTTTTTTTTTTACATTGATATTTTCTAACATTTTTAACCATGTTTATGTGACGCATTTGGTGTTTTGAAATTTTTTCTTTTTTTTTCTTTTTTAAATTTTATACATTTTCTCCTTTTAGTTTTTAGTTTAATGTTTTCTTGCTAGAAAATGAGAAATTTGTGTTTTTAAACTACTGGAAAAAATGATAATTTTGCAGTGGTCTCTTTGGTCACAGGGTTGCAGAAATTCCTCAAATAAAATGAACAAAAGAAAACATCTCAGGCGCTCCTGAGATTAACGATGAATATTTTTCTGGTCCTTTTTGTATCTTGTTCATGGAAAGTGCTGGACAGTATTTACAATGGCACCCTACTAGCAGAGTTGGCCTTTATTCCTATAGCAGACTCCGAAGCCTTTGAGATTCAGTTTTAGGTGTGTGGAGCAGTCCCATGGGCTTAACAGGCCATCTGGCATGAGAGGATCGGAAAGAGCAGCATGAAAACATTCTCCCCGAGACCACCATGGAGCTCAGCCATCCTGAGCTCATGTCTGCCCGAGTTGAATCATTCATCAGCATGTGTGCATTTATGAGAGGAAGACATAAAGAGAGACAGAAGCTTTGTACATGTAACTCCTCAAACACAAGCATGCAGCGTATCAGCCCCTCAGGGAGCCCCCCGCATGGGCCATAGACCTTAGCACTCACAGTACAGGCGGCGAGGGGAAGTTAGAACCTCATAATGGACACAATCACGACTGCCAGAGCCCAGAGGCTTTACTCATGACGCCCATCTGAGTGCCACACAGCTGCTGCTCCTCTATTCACCCCACACAGCCCCCTGCTGCAAACTGCCTCAGCTATTCATCTATATCCCCCCTCCCCCTTTTGCTCACTTTTTTTCCAGTGACATCGTGACCTAGCTCCTGTATGCGGGTCTATCTAGACTTGTGTGGTTCAGGTGACTATGTCGACGAGGTTTGCATTAGTCTGATGCCATCTGGACTCTTTGACAGCATTGAATCAAAGCTTTGAGGAGCAGGGAAGACAGATCTCACCCCCACATCCCAATCTGGCACAACACACTTTTCAGTATTACTGCACTACACATGGGTCATCGACTTACCACTGTTACACAGACACGTTTTGTTGTCCTTGGGTTCGTTAAGCAAGTAGCTTTAGGAGCACAGGTGGCCAAGACATCTGCTCTTCTGAAACACATCAAGGTCAATAAAAAGAGTTTGGGCACTTCTTTTTTTTTTTTTTTTTTACTGGTCACATAACTTCAAAAAGTGATATTATTATTATAAATAAATAATGAAAATCTAACGTTCACATAGACATGCTGATCATTCATGCATTTTCTATTCTTCAGCATGAATGCATTTAAGCATGAATGCGTTTCCCTTAGCATACAGTATCTAATCTTATTCTCAGCACTGCTTTAGTCAAGCTGTCTTTCATGAATTCTGTATTTTATACCTCTTTCTATTTTCGCCTCTCATATATATATATATATATATATATATATAAACACACA